GGAATGCCTGGCGTGGTCTGGTCCATGGAGTCGCGAAGAGTCGGATTGTGCGACTGAACAACAACGGGAACCGGAATGACCTCTCGCGTGTGATCACACGAGAGAGGTGGAATTTGCCCCTACGAGTCCAAGGCCACCACCCCGGGGCTCAGGGAGGTGAGGGAACATTTTGCGGCCCGCCCCCGCCACCACTGCCGACAGCGGCGATAACTTTTTAAAGAGCCCCTAATGAAAGCTGGGGGAGCCGAATGATCTCTCATCACACACGAGAGGTGGAATTTGCCCCTACCTGCCCAAGGCCACCACCCCGGGGATCAGGGAGGCGAGGGAACGTGCGGAGGGGGGGGCAGCAGACAGCCAAGGAGGCCATAACTTTTTAAAGAGCCCCTAAGGAGAGCTGGGAGCTGCGGTGGCTCAAGTGGTTAAGAGGCTGAACTGCAGGCTGTGGAAGGTCAGTAGTCCAGCAGTTCAAGACCCGGGTGCCGCATGATGGAGTGAGCTACCATCTCTAGTTCCAGCTCCTGCCAACCTAGCAGTTTGAAAGCAAGAAACTGCAAGTAGATAAATAGGTACCGCTTCGGTGGGAAGGTAACAGCGTTCCGTGCACCTTGGTGTTTAGTCATGCCGGCCACATGACTAAACATCTTCGGACAGTGCTGGCTCTTTGGCTTTGAAACGGAGATGAGCACCGCAACCCTAGAGTCGGATTCGACTGGCTTTCGAGCAAGGGAACCTTTACCTTTAAGGAGAGCTGGGGGAGCCGAATGACTTCTCCCCTGGGATGCTGTTAAGCCGCCCTGAGCCAGCCATGGCTGGGAGGGCGGTGTATAAATATAATAAATAAATAAATGAGGTCCCTCACATAACCCCACCCTCTCAGGGCTCGAAGCCCTAAATCTCCAGGAATTTCCCAACGCAGGCTATGTGTTGCGTAGAGGCTGGGTAGAGAAATCCGGACGTCACTTTTTTTTTTTTTTTTTAAAGCAAGCTCCGTTTCCCACAAAAGAGCCAGCCGAACGGCTGATTAATGAGCACAGAGCCGGAACTATTTGAGTCGGGAGCGAGAGGAAACCGGAAGACTGAAAGGGAGGTACACGTGAACGAAAATCACTGGGAGCCGCATGGTCGCAGCAAGAGCAACAGAAGGGACGCGTGACCACCATGGGGCGGCTGAGCAAAGTAAGAGTTTCTTGGGGTTGGGTTTGTTTTTTTTGGTGAGGGGAGGGTGGAAACCTAGGATGGAGGCCCTAGAATAAACTGAAATTTTAAAAAAGAGCGGCTAGTAGTGGTAATAGAACGGGGGGGGGGAACTGTAGGAGACGGGAAAAGGGACTAGACTATTGCATTTTTATCTCGTTCTTTTTCCAAGGAGCTCAGGATTATGTACATAATTCTTCCCTTCTCTATTTGCTTTTCCTGGTATGGCTGCGAGAGAGATCATTGGGGGCTGGTCGAACTAAAGTGATTTACTGAGCTGGAGGGGGCGGATTAGAACTCAAGTTTCCTAGGTACTGGCCTCATACTAGGACCACTGTACGACACTGCCTTTCCTGGTAATGGATTGAGTACGAGGGCTGGATTTCAATGGTTTTGAGTAGAAGGGCTTTTAAAATGCTATGGCTGGATAAGGGCATGATTGTGGGGAAAGGACAATTTTGAGACCTTAGTGTAGGTTTGATAAAGGTTTTTCTTTTAATAGTTTAAAAATACATCTTGTATGGATGCCAAAGGAGCTGCTGTGCAGCAAAAAACCCTCATATAATATTTAAGGTTTTGTTCCAGCACAAACTGTTATGGAGTACAGCTTGTTTTGTCATGGGTAGTGGAGGAAAGTGCTGTCAAATCTTGGGTGACTCATGGTGACCCCATTTCAAGGCAAGAGGCATTCAGAGGTGGTTTGCCATTGACTGGCGTCGTGTTGATGACCCTGGTTTCCCATCCAAGTATGAACTTGGTTTCTAAGATCTATGAGACTGGTGTAGTCTGGGCTAGCCTGGGACATCCTAGTCTAACACATGAACCTTTATAAAACACTAGCTGTCTTATCTTCCTTATGAATTAATATACATCATTCACAATTGCACCCATACTACTGGTGCCCATCTCATTTAAATAGTAGTTTAGTAAAACAGTTCAAATGGCTGAAGCAACTAAGCCAAGTTAGATGTTGCAAGTGAAGCACTGCCACTCCACCACTTGAAGAAAAATGCGACATTACTAACCAGTTCTGTTATGGAAGGACTTGCTCCTCTGAAAAAAAAATACCAAAAGAGAATCTTAACACACTGGTACATCTGCCTCATGCATTTTGCTATTTTACAGTGGCGTAAATCTTTTCAATCTCAGTAGTTACTTCTCAAAAGGATGCCAAACAATCATATCAATGCTGCTTTAAATGTGTCGTTGTGCTCTGAAATTACCAAGTTTCTCAGAGGGTATGACTGTTTGAGGGATGATATTCCAGAATTATGTTTCTAACAAGGGGCGGGCCCCGCGATACTCGGGGGGGGGGGGGACCTCCACACATGAGGCAGAGGAGGAAGCAGCAGGAGGAGGTAAGTCCCCCCCATCCTGCCGGTTCCTCCCCCGTATCCTCCACACACACCCCGCTCGATCTCCCCCCTCTGGCCTTCCCCCGGCTCCGAAGCGAGGGCCGAGTGGCGAGGGGAACGCTCTGTCAGTTTCGGGGGGATTTAAACATCCCCCCGATATTTTTTACAGGGTTTCTGATTTTTGTGCACACCTGGGGACCGGCAATCATATCAATGCTGCTTCAAATGTGTCGTTGTGCTCTGAAATTTCCAAGATTCTCAGATGGTATGACTGCTTGAGGGATGATATTCCAGAATTATGTTTCTAATACTGACCTTTGTTATCTTTAATCCAAGTATCAGTTAGAGGTATCGGTTAGTGGGACTCTTTGAAAAGGGTAATTAGGTAGAGGGGGATGGGGAGAGAGAATTTGGAGTGGGACAATGGATTCTCAGGAGTACCCCCTACTCTATGCCATTCTTAATGTCATTTTCCCTCTGCTTCCCTGCAGACTAAGAACCAGAAGAAAGAGCGTGCAGCAGCCCAGCATCGATCTCAGGAGGAGTATAGCGGTGTACCTCACTCCTTTGTTTTTCACCGGGGTCATGTTGGCAAAAATTTGCAGCAGCTCATCCTGGATGTCCGGCGTGTGATGGAGCCATACACAGCCACTAATCTCAAGGTAGTGTTTTATAGATGGTATCACTGGTATACCATTGAAAAAATTGGAAAAATGTTTAAGAATAAGGCTGTGCTTAGTGTTGTGGTGAGGATCGTACTTTCATGTATGATGTCAGTGAACAGTGGTTTAAAATTATTCAAAGAATGTACAAAAACAAGATGTTGATCATTACTGTTTCTGTTGGGATATTTGATAGGATCTGTGAGGGAAATGCATAAATGCTTAAGATGTTGACTTTACCTGGAAAGTTGATTGCTTCTCTTTGGATGCAAGATCCCACTGCCAAAGCAGCCTTCTGTCATCTACGGCTGGTGCGGCAGTTGTAGATTATTGCAATAGCCAAAATAACAAAAAAATTGTTAAGGAGAAGGTTCATTGATATAATAGTGGTAATCTGCTTTTCGAGGAGTATGAAACCTACCTGTGAGGTAGGTAAGGCTGAGAGAGCTCTTTTGAGAACTGCTCCTGAGAGAACTGCTCCTGAGAGAACAGCTCTGAGAGAACTTGTAACGCACTGGCTGCCTATAGCTTTCCCTGGGAGGACTGGTTACAATCTGCAATCTCCCTAGTCCCTGCCCCTAACCACTACACCAAACCACTGCACCAAAAATGAGATACGGAAGAAAAGCAGGCCTACTTACAGTGAAATGCCGTCTTGTGCAATAGAGTGGAAGAAGGGAAATTGGGACTCCTGAGTTTGAATCCTGGTTCTGAAGGGAATGCAATCTAATGGTTGTATGTGAAGATAAAGAGTTGATTCTATTTCGCTCCCCCCACCCCACCGGTCACTAAATGGGATCTTAATGGTCCAATGGAAACTATAGGGAGAAGATAATGGACTTGGGTCATTTCTGTTCAGGGCCATGGCCAAGTAATTGCAGTCAGTAATGTTTCCTGAACCTTCTCTGCCCACCATCCATGGGCAAAAAATTTAGCTGTGATCAGAGTTTTTCATCATCAATGTCCAAACCCTTTGGGCAAGAAATCTTTGAAAACAAACACTGAATTAATTTTACAAATCAGTGTTTATGCAACTTGAACCATGTTATCTATAAACCAGTATGTATGCCTTTAAGGAAATGCAGTGTATAAGCACTGACAATGTTTTTACTTTATTTGTGAGACAGCTGTGTTGGCAGGTGGGCAGTTTTTGCAGAAATGGCAGATAGAGGAAACAAGATGGAGGCTGTGATCAACAGAGTGATGAAACCACTCAGGGTATTTTCCTGAACCCTACGACATTTCAGAGATACTGCACTCATATTTTACATCTGATATTTATCTCTGAAACGTTCCATGGTTCAGGAAAATAACCTGTGCAGCTTCATGACTGTTGAGGATTCCCTCTCTTGGATTTTGTTCTCATGGAGTCTCATGGCATGGGTCTGTTTCTTTCAGGTGCGAAAGAAGAACACTCTGAAAGATTTTGTGGCCGTGGCTGGACCCTTGGGCGTCACTCACTTCTTGGTGTTCACCAAAACCCCAACCACTGTCAACCTTGTAAGTGACAAGTGAGGTGTTGCTCAGTGCAGACAAGAAGCATCCTCAAGATTGGGGTCTCTGGCAAATCTGGGATTTAGGCACTTTTGAATTCGTCCTGCTTCCTCCTTCCTCAGTTTGTCTCTGGATTACAATGCAGCTTGATTCCTTTCTCTGTAGATCTGTGTAATTTTCAAATATTCTGTGTTCAGAAACCCTTTCCCTATCAGTTTTCCTACTGAGGATATTTTTGCTTTGCTGCATAAAACTTCCAGACTACTCTGCGTTGCAGAGGATTCTGATACGTGTTCTAGGGTGCGCAGTTATTTCATATGTGGCACTGGCCAAGCCTACTGAGCCTTGTTGCCCTCATCTTTACACCTGGAACATACCTGGTACTTTGCTTTGCCACACTGCACGATGGCTGTACAGTGAAATGCCGTCTTGTGCAATAGAATGGAAGAAGGGAAATTGGGACTCCTGAGTTTGAATCCTGGTTCTGAAAGGAATGCAATGTAATGGTTGTATGTGAAGATAAAGAGTTGATTCTATTTCGCTACCCCCCCACCCCACCGGGGATGATCAGTGCTAAGGGGCAAGCTAATGTTCAGGAAAGCTTGCCTGCCATTGAATGCCTAATTGAAAAAGCTCTAATAAATGTCCAAGGGATCTCAGTGTTCTGGAGTACACAGTTTGAAAACTGCTGCCTTAAATTAGTGGTTGTTTCATATGCTACAGCCCCCTTCCTTGCTGTGTATGTACCTGGTGTTCATTGTTTTTGCATGCCCAGCTGAATTCCTTGCTGACCAGATGCAAATGATGACAATGTATTTTGCTGAGTAAAATCTGTGATTCTCACTTCAAAGTAAACGCACTGATGCATCTGGAGCAAGACTGTGCACGGGACTGTATTTGTTGTGTTGGTGATGACACTTTGTTTGTAACAGCAGCTGCTGCAAACTGTTGAATTGTATGGCAGTGGGTATCCTAGACTTCGTCTTTTCTACTGCTGACTGGATTTTTTTCTTTCTTAGAAACTTTTCCGTCTTCCTGGTGGACCATCCCTGACCTTCAGAGTTACTCAGGTACCAGCATGGGGTGGTAATGTCCTTGGTAGAGAAGGGTAAAAGGGTCTGGAGCTCTCTCTGAAAACCTTGTTAGTTAGAAACTGTATCTAGGGCTTTTGTGGCTTGTTTTTTTCCCCCCTGATGTGTGTTATGCAGGCAGCAAAAGCCCAGGACTTCGTATGTTTTATCACAGTGCAGATCTTTGTTAACACAGACTGAAAAACAGAATTATTCAGTCTATTAAAACTGTGCAAATTGACCAGCCCTGTGCGATTTCTCTTATGCAGCATACATTATAGAGTGTGTCGGAGCGATGCTGGAGGCTGAGGAGAGTTTGGCAATTTGGGTGGTGTACCGACCGCCTAGCGCACCGGCCAGTAGCCTGCCGTCCCTGCTGGAGGCCGTATCAGGCTGGGCGTTGGAGCACCCTCGTGTACTTTTAAAAATTACGGAAGCTGAGCTGTTCAGGAAGCTGACCCCTTCCCAGTATGGCATCCTGTGCTCCTTCAAAATCATGACTTCTATACAGCCCTGGCTGAGTCCCTTCTGGAAAGCGACTTCTGGGCTTCAGGGTCCACAGGCCTGTGGTGTCTCCTCCTCAGCAGAGCTCCTTTCCTGTGCTGTGTAACCCTTCTGCTCTGCTCCTCTCTTCAGTATTCGCTCATCAAGGATGTTGTGTCATCCCTGAAGCGGCATCGGATGCATGAGCAGCAGTTCACCCACCACCCACTCCTGATACTCAACAACTTTGGCCTTCAAGGCATGCACATCAAGGTCATGGCCAGCATGTTCCAGAACATGTTCCCTTCCATCAATGTCCACAAGGTGAGTGTGTCCTAGCCTGGAGATTGTGCAGAGCCAAACTGTTGGCTGTGTTCTGCTGCCTGTGTTTCTCTGGGCTTTTGAGTTCTGTGTTGTATGCACCCTGACTGTGCCCTGTTACGCCAAGAAAATGTGTATTCACCACAGGTGTATTCTGCCAAAGATTATCCCGTTTTGTTTTTGAAGCAGACCTGTTGAGGTATATGAAGCTGAGAGGGTGTGGCTTGGTTCTTACTGAGATGGTAAACCCGTGGTCTGGGCCATACAAGTTCAGACTGCTGTGCCTCAGGTAGCCAAATGCTTCTTCATTAAAAACAAACAAACCCTACTTCTAGAAAAGATGTGAGGAGGCTAGGCTTGAAGATGCTAGCTTTCTATATGGAAGACATCCTTTTTGTCTGAAGGAGAATGCAGCCTGAAATGATACGGTCAAGATGCATATTCTCCATTCAGTAAGAACTAGACAAATCATTGACCCATGTGTGTCCGAGCAGGGAATTTAAGCTCTGGTCTCTTCACCGCACTGACAATCAGGAGTGCAGCCCTTTTCTTCCTTGGCTGAGCAGCTTTGCCCCATTGTATATAAAAATATAGGCAGAGGAGCGTGTGTGGGTGAAGGAGATTTTTAGATCCCTTTCTGGCTGCTGGCACCACATTTATTTTGAAGCAAGCCTACTGTGACAGTGTTCCCTGTTCTGCTGTCTATGCTCTGTGCTCTTTGTTGCTCGAAGCAGGAGTGGTGGGAGGAAACCTCTCCTCAGAAAGACTATCTAAAATGCTAGTTAAGAGAAGGATCTTCTCCCTGTTATGTATCTTTGTTCTCATGGTATGTGTTGCTTGTCCCCCAGATTAACCTGAATGCCATCAAGCGCTGTGTCCTGATCAGCTATGATGCAGACAGCCAGACTCTTGAATTCCGGCACTAGTAAGTTTTAGTGAAGTTCTGCTGAGGGGTCAAAATTAGGTGTGTGTCTGGGAAGGAGTGTCAGACAACATGTTAAGCCACTGCTGTAAGAGAAGCCTAAACTGACTTGTGGGCCAGCAATGGATTGCTGACATACCACCCGCCTGTCACATTTTGGTCTCACCCTTACTCCAAGGAGCTCAGATTTTGTATATGCTGGCTCCCTCCTCCATTTTATCCTCACAAAAACCCTGTGAGGTAGGCTTGGATGAGAAAGACACACACACTACTTGTCTAGGTTCACTCAGTGAGCTTCCAGATTGAGTGACGATTTGAACACAGGTCTCCCAAATTCCATTCTTGACATTTAACCAGTACATTTGACTGTCATTTAACCTGTGTTATGTGTGGTTTAAACTCATGTCCATGCTTGTAGAAATGCCCACCATATTGCCTTGTTGGAAGGAAAGTTGTCCATCTTCAGGTTAGAGCAGATTATTCCATTTATTCTCACAACAGATCTGTGAGGTAGTTTCAACTCTTATCCCCCTAGGGATTGAGTAGTGACTTGAACCCAGGTTCATGTTCCAAACACTGTCCACTACACTGCCTTGGCACTACAGCATATAAAAGACTACCTGTACACAGGAACAGGAAAATTCCCATCCTAGTGATGAGCTGGGTGCAAATGATGAGAGTATAGTCTGCTGATGTCTCTGATTTTATTTTGAAGTAAACGCTCTGATGCACCCAAACAATTGGAAATGGAAAGCAGTACTGTCTGGAGGGCGCCAAACTTTTGTTTGCTGTTTTTGCTTTCACATTTCTCTAGAAATCTGAGAAGTTGGTCCATCCAACTTCTCTTTCTAGTACATCACACCATCTTTCTTGTCAAGGTCTGCAGGCAGTGATAACATTGCCAGGCTTTGGTGTGTTCAGTTGCAACCAATATCAAAGATGCTCTTCTCTTACACCCCATTCCCGTTTGGCCACATAAATTCCTAGAATGTTCCCCACTATCATCAGGAGGCTGGAGACCAACTTTATTTTAAGGAGAGATAATATGAAGGTCATTTCTGCTTGCATAGGATCAAGGAGATGTCACCTAGAGTGGGGCAAGGAGCTAAAAGCATCTCCTCTACCTCATGGTCATCTTAATTTGCTCTCAAGGCTGCTTTCCTATAAACCTGCCGTGTACTGAGTTGGGCCACTGGTCCATCTAGTCCAGTATAGAATAACAATAATTGCCTCCTCGTAGACCGTAGCTGTTGACGGTCTTTAGCTCTGTTACCTGAGAATCCTGGAGGCTGATGTTGTATTTGGGACCCCAGGCATGGAAAGCATCTGTTCTAGTCCAGAGCTCCCTCCCTCTTCCAGTAGCGTTGACATACCTGTCTGCCTGAATCCTCACAGACACCCTTCCCCCCCCCTCTGGTGTTTTGCAGCAGTTTGAAAGTGGTACCTGTAGGGATGAGTAAAGGGTTAAAGAAGTTCCTGCAGGAGAAGTTTCCCAACATGAACCGCCTTCAGGACATCAGTGAGCTGCTGGTCAAGTAAGGGAGTTGCTTTGGGTTAAGGCCGGGTTCCTCCTGGGTACGTGAATGAGGATGGTTGATTCTCAGTGGGGCTACCGCCCCACCACAGTTGTTGGGTGAATTGCTAACATATGGCTGCATTTTCATCCAGTCCATGGTCCCACTGTAATTTCAGCTCCAAGTCTCTGAACAGGCCTGGGAGGAGCATGTTATCTTGAGACGAGTCTGAAGATCCAGGGGTAGTGCTGTGGGGTTCGGGCTCACTTTTCAAGTCCTCATTGGCTCGACTGAAGCAGTCTGCCAGTTGTAATCTTGAAGGGGTCCACTCGCTATTAGTCCAGACTAATGAATCCCAGGCTGCCCATTGCCCCAAGAGGCTGGGATCTTGTGAGAAGTTGTTGCTGGCACAAAGTGGAAATGAGGAATGAGGAATGGGTAATGGAGACTCGCCTTCTGAGGTGGCCATTTGGCTGACTGGCAGAGCAGATGGCAACAATTCTACAGGTTGCTGCTTGTAACTTCCTGTCCTTTCCCCTAAAATGGCAGCCACTCTCTCTTGCAGAAGGGAAGGGAATCGCTGTGGCCTGCCCTGGGCATCTTCCTGAAGCAGCAGCTGTTGGGTTTCATCAGCTTTTTCCAGCTCCAGCACTGGCTCCTTTTGAACCAGGTTTCCACACAATCCTCTTTTGTCTTGTCTTTGTTTCTTCACTTTAGTGCGCCCGCTGCCCATTAAGTCTTCACTGACAGAATCAGATTTTGTCATTTGATTTGGTGAAGAGTTTGCCTTGTTGGCATGGCTGGTGCCTTCGACACATACACCATATGTTAAATTTGAGCGCTTGTTGTCAAGTGTGTGAGGTGTGCTATTCTGGATCACTTGTGGAGCGTAACCGACAGTACCTGCATCATCTGCTTGGCCTATGGGAGCAGCAACACACTGGATTGACGCCACTTTGGCCTGTTGCTGATAAACCCTGTTTGGCAAATCGAATACCATTTGGTGCTCTAGTACTTCTTGGAGATGCTGGTTAATCTGTTCCGGCTTCATCAATGGATCAATTTGGAAAGGCTTAGATAAATCATGGGCCACCAAGATATGCTCCACAGTTAGCGTGAGAGGCTGGGCGTGTGACACGTCCTTGAAATCCTGCCAAGGAAGAGATATGAAAATGAGTGACAGTGCAAGGAGCTTTATCAAAAAGGTAAGACAGCTAGAAAAGATGAGAATTCTGCAGGAAGGCTGCCAGCATATTGAAATTACAAAGGTATCGTGTATTGTGAAGATATAAAGATTCCCAGGAAGCTGAATTCCCATTGCCAAGTTTTACACTAGAGTGAAATTACAGAATAAACCGTGTTTTGCTGACCATCATCTTGGGCAATATTAGTAGACGGGGTCTACAAAAGGTTTCCCTCCTCCTGGGGGATGGCAGGCAAGCTCTCACCCCATGGATTCCAGGCACCACTGGGCCTCTTCACTCCAGCTGCAGCAAGGGGCAGGGGCAGCAGGTGGCATCACTTGATGACATGCAATGCTGTGATGCCACTTTTGGTTTGTACCAGGAAATGATATCATGATGCTGTAAGGAGTTCACACATCTCTGTAATTAGAAACCCATAGAGATGAATGAATTCCTAGAGTGATATATCACTTCTGGGTACAAACCAGCAATGGCATCATAACATCACGCATCATCATGTGATGTTGCTCCCTGCCCCCCAGTGGTACCCGCTGGTTGCCACTGTTCAGCCGGCAACCCAAGTCCACAAATCTATTGGTCAGTAATGAACACCCCTCTTCTTTGGGCAACAGGGTCTTTAACTCTTGAAACAAGCAAAAAAAATATTTTATTTGGGTAGGACCATACATTCTCAAGGGTGGTTGAACACACAGAGAATAAGACATCCAACAATCCATCAACAACATCACAGCAGGACATATTATCAACCCAGACTGTGCCAAAGTAAAAAGAGAAAAGTAACACCGAGACAGAGCTGACAGGAAGGTAAGCAAAGTCACTTTGCCACAGCTTGGCTTAGCATTGTTTCCCTTCCCCTCACTTACACAACAGTATCATGTGCCCATTTGTTACTCTCATGTTTCCCCCCCTGAGTTTTTTCCTGTGTTTATTTAGACTACCACAAAAGTGGTCTGAAAAAACATGGGAAACATTCAAGAAAAAACATTATACCAATATATGCATAAGGTTCTCTGAATTCTTGGCGTTCATTTTTTTAAAAGTCTCTGCCCCCTTTCCTTGTGGAGATTTGCCTTTTCCCTTATACCTCTGCAATGAAATGGACTAGAGGCAATGAAAGTTGAGAATTCAGGGAGCCTGATACGCATATTGGTATAGAAGTATAGTGATAGAATGCTGTCCAATTGCTAATTTTTAAGATAAAAAAAGCCACCATGACAGGAAGAGGAAATAGCCGTTGCTGCTGGGAAAACGGCTGCTGTGGATAGGATTGGGAAAATCCAAATTTTCCCTGCCGCATGGCAGTCAACCGGGCTTTTCTGCAATGTTCCCCAAAACTTGGGAGTGTAGCAGGTTCACAAAAGATCAGAGAAAAGCTGGGTAAACCTCAGCAGTTACACAAATACACCATGATACTGGGAGGAAGCAGGAAAACCTCCCACTTCCTAACAGCATTGAACTCGGGGCAAATAACCTGTGTGGAAAGACCCTAAAAGATGAAACCCTTAACAACAACAACAACCTCTTCCATAATGGTTGAAAGGGTACATACCAGAGACATGGGTTGCTGTGTAGTATATCCCTTAATGTACTTGTATATAAGGTAATATATCATACCAAAGGTCAATAAAACCATAAATCCAACTGCCCCAAACAAGTATGTCAGCCAACGATTGCACCCTGTAATGTTGGAGCATTCATCCCTGCCAGGTCTTTGCTTTCAGAGTTTTCTTTCCAGCCACTGCTTACAGGGTTCCTCAGGGAAGCAACTGCTCATGTGAAATGCTTCCACTTCTTGCCCGGGACAGATGGTTCTGTGGAAGTCTTTCACTGCTCCCACTGGATTCAAAACCACCCTTTGGGAATCCCACAAACTGGTGACTTAATCTTCAAAACGGATTATACCCACCTGCCATTGTGCATCAGTTCAGACAGACAGCCAAACTGTGTGTACTTCTTGCCTTGTGTGACTTCACACCCACCCAATTCTGTCTCCTGTCCACAGTTCACAAGACTGAGCAAGAGATCCAGGAGGCCCTAGTGAGGAAAGAAGAGAAGTTACAGCTGAAGGCTGAGCGCCGCCGCAAGCAGGAGGTAGATGTGGAACGTAAGCAGGAGCAGAAAACAGCTCACAGGTGAGGGGGGAGAATTGGGATGTAGGCACAGTTTTTGTCCCGGCACACTTGAAGCCTAGAGCCAAGCTTTGGGTGTCTGGGAAGGGTCGGCCTGTGTGTTTGATAGTGTCACTGGCTTGGGGGCTGCAGGAAGAAGAGCCTGGAGGGGATAAAGAAAAAGAAGCGGCAAGCAGAGGGAGGTGACAGTGATGCAGAGGATCCTGGGATGCAGGAGGACCAGAATGCGGATGAACCATCAGATGATGATACAGAATATTACCGCCAGGAAGTGGGAGAAGAGCCTGATGAAGGTTGGTGTCAAATACTTATTTTTGATGGGAGGGGTGGAACATTCAGCTTATTAAAACAGTACTGAGCATGGTACGACTCCCCACCCCACCCCAATAAATGTTCTGGGGCATCCCGTCGAGAAGGGGCGGGAAGTCCATGTGCATTCATTATCCCGGTCATTTGTCTGGGATTTTCTGCTTGCAGTTTTGGGTGAATGCTTAGTATAGCATTCCAAAACCTTTGGTTCTGGCTTGGTCTTCACATACAACCAAATGAAGCAGGGAGCAAGATGGCGGTCACTTGTGATAGCCTTTGTCTTTAATGTTTTAACATAGTTGCATTGTATAGTTCTTCATTTGTGTTAGCTGCTTGGCAGCAGCCTTCAACCTTGTCAGCCTTAGTGCCCACATTTACTCCTAACCATGGACAGGCTTTTAATTTCGTAGTTATATATGTCTGTATTCTTTTGGTTTGTACGGAGATGCAAAGGAAAACCTAGGAGGGCTTCAGAGTTGTATAGAAGAGGGAAGGTTAGTAGGAGCCGGTTTTCTGTCTTTGCAACATTCTGGTTTGAAAGCCTGCCTCTGCTAAAATTCCTTCTTCTGCCCAATAATGAAAGGGACAACAGCTCCATTTGGATCTGAGGCCCTCTTTCTTCCTTTTGCTCTTCCAAAAATTACACTAGCGATGATGCTGGGGTGGATCCCAACTTGCTATCGATGCAGCTGTGCCTGTCCTCACCACCTCTTTGCTGATGCTCTCCTTGCTGAACCCACTCTAGATCTGTTCCCACAAAGCACCAAGAGGAAACGAGGCCTTGGCCAGTCCATCAAGCCACGAAAAAGGTGTAAATACTCCCGCTCTGCAGGTGATCAGAACCCAGCCCCTGCAGGCAGAAGCCCAAAGGCGAAGCACAAGAGGATTCGACGGCCCGGGCAGGGCTGGCAGCCAAGGGACTCACCTGGTCTTAGAGAGCAGCAGCAGGGCACGAGACAGCTGGGGAGAGCACGGAATGCCAAGCGGAAGCCAGCCCAAGGTCCAGGGCGAAACCACACGAAGCAGCAGCGTGGCTCAAAGCCTCAGGGGCCCTGGAGGCAGGGCAAGCCTGGACTGCTGAGGAGGCAGGCACCAAAGGGAAAAGGAGCCTTCGGGAAGCAGAGACGTTCAGGGAGGAAAGGACCGGTGTAGTGCTCTGGGACTGTCCTTTCACTTGGCATTTGTTTTTTTGTAATATATGGGCTACCTGAGTTGCTTGCGTGTGTGTCTAAATTGGGCTTGCATCATCGTTGTGCAGAGCAAAAACTGGTTTGAATCTGTGTGGGATGGGATGTAGGTAGATGCTGGCTAGAAGTGGCAGCTGACTGGGTTCATATGACAGTCACTGCAGAAGAAGAGACACAGACGTGGGACAGTGGAGAAAAATAGATTACAGCTAGAACTAGCCGTTTATGCAGGTTTGAATCCTTGATCAGTGCTACCTCCATCTCTTTCCTCTTCCCACTCCCAACCCTCCATTGCTGTTTCAGTCACCTCATTTAAAGCAGAAATGCTGATTTACTTGCTTAGGCAGGAGGGTACTTTCCTAAGAGTGTATGCTTACCTGCCCATCTAGGCAGCAGGGCAGGATGACAAGAGCAAGCCCCAACTGTAGCCAGCCCATTCGGTATATTCAGTAGCTTACCGAGGAGATCCTTACTCCCAACAGTCACTGCAGCTGGGCATTTTCATGTGTGCTGCTGCAGCAGAGCTTGTGAGTGTGAAGTCTATGAAAGTAATCCACAAGTCTGACCACTTAGGGGATATATTTTTCAGCATCTCTACTGACGTTTGCCTAGAGCTTTCGAACAGAGCAGTGTTTTTCGGAAGCATTTGGAGGCGTCACTCACAGTTGGCAACCCAGTTATGTTCTGAGCTCAGAGGAGTATGACCTGTGCAGGTGAAATGCAGCCCAACCTACGTTTGACCAAAGTGGTAATTCTATGCATTGCATATTAATTAATTTAGAATATACTTACCTGAATGTAAGTCTTCCAAAGTTCAGTGGGGTTTTCTGTCAAACATCCATCAATTTTTAAGAAGTCTGGACCTCAGAATGATTGTAGAGGGTTGGCTCCTTTCGCAGATTTTTTTTAGGACGTGGTACAGCCAGCTTCCCTCGCTTCTTTCCTGAGTGGTTTTCAGATTTGTTTGGCTTTTTGCTTGTCCAGGTCCTAGTTAATGTGACATGGGCAGCCAAATGGGAAGTGTGGAGGTGGAGGCCTATTTATTATTAAACAGGGGAAGCGAATGTGTGTGTCAGATGAGCTAAAGCCTGCCTCCCTCCTCGTCTTTCCTTACCATGGTATCATTATCTAAAACATTGCCCCAGTCTGATGCCAGTACTGGAAGAAAGCCAGGCAGAAGCAAATGCTTCAAGGAGTGCTGTGAGATAAGGGAGGTTTTAACTCCCTTCACTCAGTAGGCTGCCACATGAACAGGTAGAACGAACATCAATAAATGCACATAGATGCCCTTGTCATGCACAATCTGGCCCTTGAAGTCTGCTGTGGAATTCATTTATTTGCACATACATGTATCATCCATGGTTCATAGTATTGTCCTTGCGCTACCAAACTTACAAGAGGTACGGCTGTATGCATTGCCCCCCCCTTTTTTGTTGGGATCAGGGCCCCCATCAGATCAGCCAGAGATCAATGAATGTCCACATCAAGCAAGAAGCCAGTGGAGGTGTGGAATTCTAGTATTTCTAGCTCTCTATGCTCATTCCGGTATTCTGTATCCAAGACCCACCCTACACCTGCTGGGGGCACAAGGGGAAAAAATCCAGTCTGTTGCAGATCAACCAACCTGTTCTCCATTAGGTACTAGTCACAGCATCTGTAACCTTTATTGGCGGCGTCATAAATCCCATGGCACATTCTAGGTACTTCTCAGCTGGTAGCAGTTAAGTGGCAGGCTGGTCTGTCTCACACAACTTGATTTCATAACCATGTACCAAAAGCAGGACAGTTGGAATTGCAAAATAGCGGTTCTTTGGTCCTGAAGACTTACAAGCAGAAATATAAGCCATTAAAGAAGAATTGTATAGAGCATAATCTATTAGCAATGGGTATTATGTATGGAATCTGTCTTTACTTTTTTTTTCTTGGCTGTCAAGTTGCAATCGATTCATGGTGACCCTGTAGGGTTCTCAAGGGAAGAGATGAACAGAAGTGGTTAAGTGGTTTGCCATTGCCTGTCTCCATGTTACAACCCTGGTATTCCTTGGTGGTCTTCCATCCAAATACTAGCTGGAGGTGGGCCCTGCTTACATTTCCAGCCCAGGCTGGGCTCCCCAGGCCAGGCAGCATCTTTAATAACACATCTTAAAAGCATGCAAATGAAATGGCTGCCTCAAGTATCAGCAGTATCTGAAGGAGAGAGCTTGCGCCCCCCCATTGTATATTCTGTAAAGGAGTCTTGAGTGTCCTTTTATCTCTTAAAGCAGAGAGGACAGCAGCTGGGAGCCACTGGTTTGGATCTCTACTTTTTTCATGACTTTTGCTAGATGAGTTTGGGCCAGTTACTCTTCGCCTAATCTACTTCACAGGGTTGGTGGGAGGATCAAAGGGGGAAAGGAGAATTACGCACACTACCCTGAGTTCCTTGGACAAATGTGGAGGTAAAATTATACTGCATCAATACTGTGTTGCTTCCAATGCACCTGTCTCTATGGCGTATGTCAGGTTTTAACTAGAACTCACCTAGCACTCGTCAGTTGCAAACGTTCTGACAGATTTGTTCTTGGACCATCTGATAGGCTAGTGGACATTCTGTGCCACCAGTTTCAGTCATGCAGTGGCACAGGACTTCACTGCTACATGAAAACTAAACTGTAGAATCCAAAAGCAAATGGAGATTAAGTGAAGGTAGAAAGGATGTGGGTAAAAAAGACCAATAATAATTTAGGATGAAATGAGAAATCATTCTCGTGTCTGCAACTCAGGAAATTATTCTCTTATTTGGACTCTCCTGAAGGAAGTGCTGTATTCTCCTACCATTGTTGATTAAGAATACTGGTAATTTAAAACACTCCAGTACTTGCTTATTTATTACATCTGTATTTATATGCATCCTTTCCATTTAAAAATGATCAAAGTGGTTTACAAGTTTACACGACAGAAAACAATTAAAAATGTATAAATCATGGTCCCAAGCCATTACGGGAAAAATAAAAAAGGTGTTCCAGAATTTTAAAAAAGTCATAGAAGACCTGTGAGGGATCAGATGTCTCAGTGACCTGAGAAATGGAAAAGATATTCTTGTTCCTGGTCCTAACTCAGATTACATGCACATCTGAACTAGAATGTTAGCTGCAACACCGGGTCTCCAAATATACCAGAGTCAGAACCCTCTTGGAGCTGTACAGACGACAAGACAGGAAATGCCTTTTTGTGAAATATTAAAAATATTACCCTGATACACTCAGGTAATCAGTGGAATATCACATACGAGAGAGCTAGGAAATAAAGAGGTGAAGCAATCTTAGATCAGTGACAAAAGAGGGTGAAGTGTTAAGAATGGGGGATATGTGTGTTATAGCTACCTTCTGAAAAGAAGAGTCCACGGTGAAGAGAAGCAGACTGCTTGGCCGGCAAGTATGTCTTGAGAAGACCCAAAAGAAATGGGGGATCCAGCTGGTACACATCCCAAGAGACTGAACCAGAGATGGCTGGGTTTGGAGTCCTGATTTAGGAAAACTGTGCCTTCAGGGCAGTGGGCACAATGGGGGAATGGTCTGTGATGGGCCAGAATAGTCAGTAATGGCTCTAGAGGGGTTTTGGACAAAAGAGGTCCAGGTCGGGGAAGGGAAGCCTTTGTTGGCAAGGCATTGGGCAATTGCAGAGTCTAGGCTCCTTTAATGGCTGGGTGTTCAAGAAAACAATAATGACAATAGGCTGTGGTCAGGGTGGTCCCACTATCGATTTGCAAAGTCTGGAAATGCGGGGCAGATACATTGTCCTTTCTGATGGCAGATACGTTTCTGCTAGAGGCTATATCTGAAGGGGTAGCTGATTGTGTCAGAGAGACGGTCCTGAGTACATGGCTGGACTAGTTGGCACTGTACAAAGAGAGGGCTATATTTGCCCTAACCTGGCCTGGGTGCCATCCTTTCTGTAGTGGCAAGTGGAGGCTTGGGCTAACTAGAAGGTTGTATGCAAATACCCATAATTGAAACCTAATGCCATAATAAGAGACCTAATGACAGTAAAAAAAACAACAACAGTGATGTGTTACAATGAGAACTTAGGAGGATCCCTCCAGATTCCAAAAAGAACTGATTCCAGCCTTTTGATAAGGAGCGGAACAGGTTTGTGTATATCTACAACTTGGGCCTAGAAACCCTAACGGCAACAGCTTTACCTACCATCTTCTCAACCACCACACTGCTTTTTTCTCCCAGACATCACCAGGAGACAGATAGCCTGGCCTCCAAATATCAACTCTTTCCTAACTGTCATTTTTAACTGCTTACCAGATTGCGAAAAAGAGGGCAGCAAGAAAGTGGTAGGTACTGTGGTGCTTAACCTTTATCTCCCCAGAAACTGCCTCTTCCCCCCACAGGTTAGAAGCCCAAGTCTGCTATTTTAAAACATGGTGTGTGTGTGTGTTAAGGGTGCTGGTTTCAGATAGCAAGATTGGGTGTAGGCTGAAGGATTAACTGCCTCTCTTTTTCTTGCACAGCCCCAAAGGCAAGTTAAGACTACACAAGACTGCAATTTGCATCTTCTAGCCAGACTTTGTTTCAGTTGTTTTTGGCCTTTAGATGCTAACAAATGGCCCTAGAAAACCTTGTGGGAGGGGGTGGAAGAAAGGCACCACCTGGCCAACACTGATTGCCCACTTCTCTCCACTGTGTGTTAATAGTTTATATCTGGCTTCTGTATCCCTGGAAGCATTGTTATAGTCAAGGGTGTTGTACTGTGAAATTTGTACGTTTACAAACTAGGGAGTTGACTGGAAAGGCAACTTGTTTTGCAAATGTTTAGCATGAATAAGAATTGAACCAACTCACACAGGTGGTATCATGGAAAGTTTACTTGGGGAAAAAAAGGTTTAATGGGCAGTATCTATCTCACACTAATCTTACTGTCATCACCTTCAGCCTTTAAAGGTAAAGGTTCCCTCGCTTGAAAGCCAGTTGAATCCGACTCTAGGGTTGCGGTGCTCATCTCCGTTTCAAAGCCGAAGAGCCAGCGCTGTCCGAAGACATTTCCGTCGTCATGTGGCCGGCATGACTAAACCCCAAGGCGCACGGAACGCTGTTACCTTCCCACCGAAGTGGTACCTATTTATCTACTTGCAATTTCTTGCTTTCGAACTGCTAGGTTGGCAGGAGCTGGAACTAGAGACGGGAGCTCACTCCGTCATGCGGCACATTCGGGTCTCGAACTGCTGAACTACCGACCTTCCACAGCCTGCAGTTCAGTGTCTTAACCACTTGAGCCACCGCAGCCCCCCTTCAGCCTTTAGAACAGATGAAAAACCAGCAGGGCAGGACCGAAGCCCCCAGTGAATATTAACTGTGGGATCCCAAATTTTGTATTGGTGGGCACTATGATCACAGAAATAAATATAAATGCAGATTCAACTTCAGTTCTGTGCCTATTGAAATAGAAGGCAAAGCATCAGTAGAATCAGGATCAGGCTTTAGGAATGTCCACTGAAACAATCTTTGCATACCTCCCCTTGTGACGGGGAGAAGAATCTTGTTTGAAAGTGGATAGCGTAGCCTTTCCCGGGTGTATATCTGCTGGCTTGTGTAGTGATGAGGAGTCCATGACTGACACATTTAGGGTTGTGAGCCTACTATATAAGCAAAGCCTCAAGGAACAGAGGGTGTCAGAGAGCTGAAGGTTGCCTCTGTACAGTTTGTCATCTCAGCCCAGCTACTGACCAACAATAACCAAACATGGATGATATTTATAAGGCAGCAGTAAGTAAGATTTCCACATAGCTTGATATAATGTTGGGTTTGGATAAATTACAGTGAAAATATATTGTTTGGATTTCATAGAAGACAGTCCAGTTCCTTGGAGATGCTGTGCTGGGGGTGGGGGTGCTGGGAGATAGCGGAAGGCTGCAGTCTTAGAGACACTTCCCTGGGAGTAAACCCCAATGAATAACATGGAGCTTACTGAGGAGTCTTGCTTATATTACCTTTGTGTCTAAAGTCATGAAAAGTATTAGTATTCTTTCTGATGCTACTAATGATAGCGTAATTATCAGTCATTCATAATGTAGAACCTTCTAAATAAGCACTTCATTTGATGAAGGAGTTCTGTTATACCGCTAATGTTCCTCTTCTAAGTAATTTCTTCTACAAATGTACTGTTGGGCTGTTTTGGTAAAATCTTACCTGGTTGTGTTCCATGTAAAAATCCAGGCTTGTATATGTAGCTTGATCCTATGATGAGTCTGACATGTTAAAGTGCATTGTGTTTAATGGGGTGATATGAGTAACTGTAGGGTGCACAGGTATTCGGATGACTAAAAGTAATCTTAGATCTACTTTGCATTTTTATGACTAATAAAATCTATAGGAAACACAGGAACAGTGTTCCCTCTAAGCTGAGTTAGTGTGAGCTAGCTCACAGTTTTTTAGCCTCCAGCTCACAAATTTTTGTCTTAGCTCAGGAAGGATGGCTCCAGAGCAAACTAATTTATGCAGTAGTCAAATCACTTGCTCACAACTTTAATGCCAGTAGCTCACAAAGTAGAATCTTTGCTCACAAGACTCCACAGCTTAGAGGGAGCATTGCACAGGAATATTCAACCATTTATTTTGTATATATTGAAATATTAATTTTCTAGCATTCCCTTTGCCAGATAAATGTGTGTACAGAGATATAATTTTATTGTAAATAATTTGATTTGGAATTCTTTCCTATTCCTAATTTTCAACAGTGAGGGTGCCCAAAAAACTTGCACTGCTATAATGGTTCTGTTTTTGCTTTTGACTGCAATTCTGTAAAAGAAGTAATAAAATAAAATGTTATATTTAATGAGGAGAGGAAGGAACCACAGTCCTAATGGAATTAGGTGAATTTCTGATTTTAGCTCACAAAATAAATAAGAGGAGTAACCAGATAAACAAACTATAATAGTAGAAATATTCAAATGAATCCTTAAGTATGAAAGGAAAGAAAGTGCAGTTCTTGCTGTGCTGGAAACTACGTGGGCTATCTGAACTTCGGTGATTGAAAGTGTTATTATGAATCCCTAATAAGACAGGTGGAAAAGGGATGGATATATCCTGGTGAGTGGTAAGCTCCCAAAAGGAGGTTTAAACAGCTGCTCTGGGTTGTACATAATCCACGAAGTGTTTAGGGTGTGGACACATTATTACCTAAAATGTGGAAGTATTTTTTTTAACCAAAAGAATATCTAAGAGAATATTGTGGATTTGGTTCCACGTGCTTTGCATTGCATACTGAGAAAAGGGGCTGCAACCACCCAGCTGGCCATTACTGGAATGCAGGACAATCTTACAAGGAATGCAAGTAATGCATAGGATCATAAATCCAGTGATGGAAATTCTTAAAAGCATTTTTCATATGGGTTTTAGTATAGTCACATCCTTTTAGTTCTCTTATCTTAATCATCCTTCCCAAAATTCTGAGATAAGTCACTTTTACTAGTGCCATTGTGAATGGTTACCTGTATGCTTGATTTTGCATAGAAATCACACAGACTGGAGTTCTTGTATTTATTACCCTGGACCCCACTGTTTACATCATCTCTCTTGTTCAATGCCCCATGCATGTATATCTGCCAACAAAGGACACTCTTCAAGCATCTGATGGCGTAGTGGTTGGAAGGCCAGACCAAAGACTCTCTGGTGACTCTGGACCAGTCGTTCCCTCTTAACCTAATCTATCTCACAGGGTTTGTGAGGCTAAATGGAGAAGGTCATGGGGAAGAAAAGCAGAGTATAAATATCTAAATAAAATTAAATATGCCACAATAAATTCTTTGGAGTGCCACAAATCTCTTTTGTTATGCTCTTATAACAGAGTAACATTACTACTGTTCTGCTATTCCAAGGGAATCTCCTAGGGGGGGGGGGACCTGAACCTTCTCAGTGCATTCTCCATTAGCGACCTTTAGTAGAGTCCAGGCCTTGGTGACATCGGAAGTATAAATTCTTTTGGGGATCCTGTGAGACAAAGTGACACTTAAGTGTTCGCTTGGGAGATGGCAAAGCACAGCAGTGATCAAGGAGGCCCCTGGTTTGAATTTCACCCTTGTAACAAGATAGATTAGGGTTGCCAGGTCTGGGTTGGAAAATACCTGGAGATTTTGGGAGTGGAGCCGGGGGAGGGCACCTAAACAGGGTTATAATGCCATCTAAAACAGCCTCTCTGTTTTAAACCCTCTAAAACAGCCACTTTCTCCAGGGGAATTGATCTTGGTAGTCTGAAGATCAGTTCTACTAGCAGGAGATCTCCAGGTGTCACCTGGATGTTGGCAACCCTACAGGTAGATCCAGGTGGGTAGCAATGTTGGTCTGAAGCAGTAGAACAAAGTTTGAGTCCAGTGGCACCTTTAAGACCAACAAAGTTTTATTCAAGGTGTGAGATTTTGTGTGCATGTACACATTTCCGCAGATAACATGTATCTGAGAAAGTGTACATGCACACAAAAGCTTATACCTTGAATAAAACTTTGTTGGTCGTAAAGGTGCCACTGGACTCAAACTTTGTCCTACCCTTGTAACAAGTCACTAGGTGACTTTAGGCCAAGCTCCCCCCTCCTGCTTGGTCTCGCAGACAAACCCCATCTGCAAAAGTTGATAACACTATTGGCCTACCTTATGGGGCTGTTGTAAGGGAAGTGTATGAAAAGTGCTTTGAACACTGAAAGTGCTAACATAAATTGCAGGTATTGTTATTGTTATTATTGCTGTAGCCTAAGGTTACTTGTACATATTGATTTTATAGTATTCTCTGGCAAGGCAGGATACAGATAGAAAATAATAAATAAATAATATTCATATAGCAATTCCTCTAAGAAATTAAAAGGAGTTACTTTTTTTTATCTTCACAACAATCCTGTAAAGTAAGTTAAGCTGAGCAATTTACATTAATGACCCCCGAGTGAGCTTTATGGCTAAGCAAAGATCTGAACCCAAGTCTTTCCAGTTGTGCAGTCATAACTCTGCAAAAACAACAAAATAGTCACCAGCCAGTCTAGCTGGAGATGAAAGAACTAAAGATCTAATTTACTGCAAAGTGACAGGCAAATTTAATTGTGTACGTGTACCGAATGAATCCATCTAATACTTTTAAAACGCAGCTGCTCAAGTGGACTAAAGGAACTCGGTGGATTTATCACCTTGCCCACTCACAGCTCTTTTATGCAGAGCTAATTTTGGTATGGTTTCCAGACGCCAGAGAGCTGCACAAAGAACACTGCCAGGGACATGTGTCAAGATAAAAGGCTCCGTGGATAAATACCCATGCCAATCAGCTTGTGTGAACAATCAGTATTCTTACCAGCAGCACCTCACTCAGTAGGGCATAAAAATAGCCTGCATGCCAAAATTGTCAAGCTATGTGAGATGCATAAAAGTGACAAGAGGCATTTGTTTGCTGTCTTCAGCAACCCTCTATTTTTTTTCCCTACCATCACAATGAAAAAGCAGTTCCCAGCTGCTCCTCTTCTATCACACAGGCTTAGATAAAGGGAATTAGATTTCACTATGAAAGTCTGCACAGAATTCTTGCCACTATTGTCTATAACTGTCCAGTGCAGATAGTCCTTGCCATCTCTGGGGCTTTCCAGTTCTTTTTTAAATGGCGTAGTAGCTTAGTAGGAGAGAGGCATTACTTTTTGTAGATTAGTACTACTGTGGAACAGTTCTGGCTTCACAACCAACTTCATTTGTTTAGTTTTAATGTTTCCCCCAAAAAACTTGAGCAAGGAGCATCAGCTTATTCTGAAGAAGGACTCAGAACCCAAGGAGAGCAAAAGGATACTGCTGCTGATTAGGAATAAGGAACAATAGGATGATGAAATTCTTTTGAAATGCAGAACAAGCACAGCAAATTGCTGATGCTGCTTCTAGTTTTTCTTATCAGCTACGTGCTAGGGGTTTTACAGAGGGGCATAATGGTGCTTTCCCAGATGGAGAACCAACGGTTGTGAGAACTGGAGCAACAAAGAGCACTCAGGATGGCATCTGGGAAAGTCAGCACATAAACGGAGTCTTGGATTGTCTAGGAGAATCATTGCAAAGAAGTGCCTCTTGAAGAGAAGAAATATGGGAATTAGGCCACAATGAGAATTCTAAGTACTTGACAGTAGGTGTTGATGAACAGGAAGAATTCAACAAGAGTAAAGTAAGCAACATTTGGGTATATTTTAAATAATAAAACCATCAGGTCTGTATTTGATTATTATATGCATCTCTGAAGGTGAAAGGCCTCATTC